AGTGCAGTACTCACTTATACTTGTATGTCTCAGGACACAAGGTATCTTCATATTCATTATGATAGGATTATACTGCCGCTGGACACTGTCAAAAAAAGAGGCAAGAAATCCCTTCCCTTGCACAACTGCTCCCTTTCTGGTTACGCACAGTTTTTTTTTTTTTTTTGCTAGAACTCTAGGTGAAGGTCTGTCTGTGCAGTCTCTGCTCTGAAATGGCTGGCATTGTCAAAAATGCCATCTGAGGTTGGGAAACTGGCTCTTCCAGGTTCTATTACCTATTGCAGTACTCCTTAGGAACAGTACCTGGACCCCACACTGGACATGCAAGGACAGTCTAATGTTGCTGGTCTGTAGTAGACTGGACGGTGCTGGGAACTTGAGTCTCTGAAGGTCTTCGTGGTGTAACCTTTCTGAATACTCCCCCTGGGAGTCCTGCAGTATGTAATAGTGAGTGCCTTGGCGATAGTTCCCCTGGTACCCATCCTCTGTGTCTCTCCTGCACTGTGGGTTCCCCCTCCGATTGCTGACCATGGAGGGTTGACTTGGTATTTTGTGAGAGGTATGAACAGGAGCCAGGCGCTGTGTAGTTTTGTGATAAAAATAATACACCTTGTATGGAGGTGTGCCTTTAATAAGTCATATGGTAAAAAAATAATAAATAACCAAGTCTCAGAGACTTGGCAAAGCGCATGCGCGCGAAACATGTTGTCCCAGCAACCGGCCTCTTCCTTCTAAAGCTGCGGCTCCAGCAAGAGTTCCCCCCCTCCGTCTCTCCACATCGTGGTGACGTCATCCAGGACGCTGGGACGTCGGGTACACGTGGTCCCTGCACTGACAGGCATTCTACTCCACTGCTTCCCTCTGAGCAGACGGGCCGTCCATCTTGGAACCTGGCTTCCTAAAGCCACAGGCTGGTTATTTAATATTTTTTTACCATATGACTTATTAAAGGCACACCTCCATACAAGGTGTATTATTTTTATCACAAAACTACACAGCGCCTGGCTCCTGTTCATACCTCTCACAAACCGATGTGTTTTTTACCATGGCAGCAGTGAGTTTTTTCCCCACCAATCATAGTTGACATATACCATTCACTTATTTCCTTTGGGACACATCTGTGCGCTTTTATCCAGACCGTTCTTCCCGTATTTTGTGAGGCCCCCTTTTATTTTACTTTTTGTGGGAAGCAGCCTGAAAAGCTCTTGGCACCAAGTGGGGAGGGCGGAGTTCTTCCTCTGCTCCTGGACCATCTTGATTGCAAATGGAACCGAAGACCCGAACTTCTAAATTCTCTAAGCCAGGGAACAAGTCCTCCTCACAATGATGGGGCACCCTCACTCATTCAGTGGGAAGATATTTGCAGGGGAGATTGCAGACGAATGGTGTGGTCTCTCCACTATCTCTAAGCAGACGAGTGGTGTGGTCTTTCTAATTTTTCTGGGCTCCTCCCAGTTTCTTTGCTCCAAGAGAGGAATTCTCATCTATTACCGTTACTTTACAACACCAACTTTCTTGAATTCTTTCCAGCATGGAAGTATTGTCTGTGCACATGTGCAGAATCTTATGAAGTGTTTGTCTGTGACTCTGCCCTGTAAGAGGGGTGTTGAACACTTGGAACCTTTTAGTCTGCTTTAGATGATTACATCCAAAAGGTAACTGTTGGTAAGAGTACCCTGTTGCCATTTATGAAGTCTAAGCGTACATTTCAAAAACATGCCACACCTTCCAAAAAAGCATTCCTTTCGCCAACCACAGGTTTCAGGCTCCAAGTCAAATAGAATCCTGGAAGAGTCATAGTTATGAAAGAAGACCTGAACTTCTAAGTCCTCTAAGCCAGGGGACAAATCCTCCTCACAGTGATGGGGCTCTCTCGTTCATTGGGGAGTGGTTTGCAGGCCTTTTGCAGATGTTTACAGGGGGAGATTGCAGATAAGTGGGTCCACAACATAGCAGCTCATGGTTAAGCTGGGATTTCAGAGCCTTCATCTTCTGTTATGCCATTATGTTTAAATCTGCATATGGAGTGTGCTTTTTCAAATTCTCAATCATCTACTGTCACAAGCAGTGATTGTCCTAGTCCCAGAGAGTGAAAGGATTCAAGGTTTCTATTTAAATCTCTTCATGGTTCCGAAACGGAATGGTGATGTTTGTCTGATCATGGATCTCAAGAGACTCAACAGTTTGCTCCAAGTACATAAGTTCCGGGTGGGATTGGTATGGTCATTGCTTGCCTTCCTCGAGCGGGGAGGTTTCCTACCATCAGTGAATATCAAGGATGCTTATCTGCACTTTTCAGACTTGCCACCTCACTAAAGGTTCCTGTGGTTTGTGGTGGATGACAGCAATTTTCAGTTTTACTCCCCTGCCATTCAGCCTGTCCACTGTTCTCAGAGTATTCAACCTATTTCTAGCCCCATTCTTGGGTCTCCTACATACTGATTGTTCCTACCATAGGTTAACTGGATGACTTTCTTCTCCGGGAGCAGTCCACTCGGCTTCTGGATATCTGTATAACCCCATGGTGCAAACTCTGCAGAAGTTTGGATAACCTGTAGGTAAACGCCTATGTGAAGGAGGCCTTAGATGTTTTTAGGGCTGAAACAACTAATCAACATAATCTATTATTAAAATAGTTGTCAACTGTTTTCATAACTGTTTTCATAATCTATTAGTTTTGCATACAGAATGCATTATTTGTTTACATAGCAGAAAATATAGTACAGCGCGCATAAAGCTCAGTACACTGCTCTTATATGTCAGTAAGTGCCTGAACTTGTGAGTGTGTGAGGTGCACTGCCTGGTGGGACATGTAGTCCTGGGCAGGAGAAGGAGATATAGATATATAGATATATATAATTTTTTTTTCTTCACTGTTTCATGGTATAAATTAACACCTTTTAGTAGTGGTTATCTGCTGGTTTTGTACTAATCAAGGGCTATATTTTTTCAACCCCCTCATGACAAGTGATAAATGCATGTTGCTGCGATTAAATGTCTTGAAGAAGAGGTCCAGGCTCCCCCCAAGAAATTAGGGCTGCAGCTACAAATACTGTAGCTGCTAACTTTTAATATAAGGACTCTTACCTGTTCAGGGGTACAGCGCTGTCATCACCCAGGCTAGTTCTTCACTATCCTCCGGCTTCCCGGCGCCGGCATTGCAAGTGAGGGGAACAAGAAGTTTCACCGGTTTAATACTGCGCATGCGTGAGTCGCGCTGTGCCTTGAGATTGGTCCTACAGTCTTCTGGGACCTGTGAAGTGTCAAATGTTGCAGTGGAGAAGGGGAGGAGGCAGACAAGCAGAGCTTCCCTTTTTGAGTGGAGCTCTGCTTTAAGTTGGCCATACAGGTCTTAATTTTTGGGCAATATTTGGAAATTCTTTGTACATTCGATGAATGGACAAATGTCATTCGAATGAAATTCAGTGTCTGAAAATTAGTTACACCAAGAAGTTTTCCATTCTGCTCCTTTAAATTTTCCCATCACTGTGGTAAAAAATAAATGTTGATTTTGTCCTCACTATTAGAAAGTCAAATGAACGTTCTTAAAACAAAATTTTTTGGTGTATATGGCCAGCGTAAGTGACAGCAGGAACAGGTAGCTTGTATCAAGCTACATGCCTATGACAAGGGAGTCTGTTATGCATAATATTATATTACAATCCTGTTTGAACATCTGCAACACAGTGTTTTTATGTCTTTTTTTAATTTTCTTTTTTTAATTTTGATCTCGGAGTCTGGTGATATGTACCAAAATTGTATATTCATCTCTCCTGTTCTCAAGAGTGGATTACATTTTTTGTTCCCTAACCATATACCTGTTTTTTTTATATTTACCACTGCATATAGATATTCAAGAATAATTTGTTTTTTTTTTTTTTTTTTTAGGGCTGGTCCACACCTTAAAAACTCATTCCGGATGTGTTTCTTTATGCGTGTTTTTGACACATTCCGGTGCATTTTTGTTGCACTCCGGTGTATTTTTTCCTCCTTTTCTTCAACTTAAATAAGGACGTGTGCGTTCCGGTGCGTTTTTGGTGTGTTTAGGTGCATTTCTTATGCATTTTACTGCGTTCCAGTACAGTTCAGTGCAGAAAAAAATGCAGCATGTTGTACTTTTTTTTTTTTTTTTTTTTTTTTTTTTTTTTTTTTTTTTCTGGAACAAACTGGAACTGACCACACTGGTGTGAACTATGCAATTGGAACCATGTAACCTACTATCAATGTGTTTTTGATGCAGTATAAAAAACACACTGGACTGCATGTGGTATGAACTTGCCCCTAAACTTTACATGTTAATTAAATTATACACCAAACTTTTTGTTGGGGTTTTTATCCAATTAATTGAAATAATAATCACTCACCTAATCGATTATGAAAATAATCGTTATTTGCAGCCTTAGATGTTTTCTTTGTTCCATCTAAACCTGGACATTGCTCTGTCCTTTCTTTCCCAAGCCTCAGTCACTAGGGAACAAGTCTTTCACCTTGGATGTGGTGACTGCTGCAAATCGTCACAAATTTTTTTTTATTTTTGGCTGTGTCCAATCTTCTGAAGGTGGCAGCTTAACCCTGTTTTAACAGATATTAAAATACCCTGTGAAGTACTGCAAGAAAGAGATTTTTACAGGTGAACCAAAATCCCATTATATGATCCTCTCCTTTTTATCACCAAAAGTATATCTCAGAGCTAATTGAAAGTGCTTGCTGCTTTACAGGAGTTTACCTGGTTTAAAATGGATGGGGCTATTCTAATACAAAATACAGTTCCCTGCCTGTGTGCATGTGTGAAGAGTTGAGAGAGCTATAAAAAGGATGTTTTTCCTAGTGGGTTTTATATTTTGTAAAGTATAATTGGGTATGTTGTATGAACATTTAGATGCGGGTAGGGCAGAGTTCTTGAGGTTTTTTTTTTTTCTTTTTTAATCTCAAGTTTGTTATATTTATCTACACTTTTTTCATTTCAGCAACCAAAAGACAGTATGCGCTTGGATGAAACCATGCTTGTTAAACAGCTGCTACCTGAGATCTGCCATTTTATTCACACACATCGAGAGGGCAACCAGCATGCTGCCGAGCTGCGGATTTCTGCATCAGGAGTCCTGTTCTCTTTAAGCTGCAATAATTTCAATGCAGTTTTCAGTCGAATTTCTACCAGGTGAGAAGCAATAAATTGTAGCATTAGTGTTACTAATTTTTTTTTTTAACTAAGGTAACACACATGTTTTACTCACCTGTTCTGTGCAGTGATATTGCAGAGTGGCCCTGATCCTCCTCTTCTTGGGTCCCCCGCCAGTTATCCTGGCGGCTTCTCTTCTTCATGTGTTCCCAAAGCAAACAGCTGTTGTGGGGGTACACTGTGTCCGAGTGCTGCCGAGCTGTTTGTCAATGGAGCCATGCTCTATAGACGCACCTAGCAAAACTTGGCCCCTCCCCCACTTCTTCCTTACTGAGGGAAGGGGGAGGGCATAGAAAAAAAACATTTCCGCTTTAGTATCTCTTTTAAAGGAAAATTTCAGGCAAACACCTAAATGTATAGTTTACCTTAATATCCTTATATCTGGGGGTCTAATCATGAGCATCCCTTGTAATATTTTAATTTTGGTTAGATTTTGAGGCCATGGAAAGATGTCCATAGAAATCCATAGAAAGATGCTAGGTTGAATGTGTTTAGTGGTATCTGGGTTTTTTTTTTTTTTTTTTTTTTGAGCTGGTTGAGCTTTCCCTGTTTGAACAGAAAAATGGGGACCACTAGGAAGTTTAAAGTTCATGAAAATATAACTTTCAGTAGCCTATTTTTGGAGCTTTCATAGTTGAATCCCTTCTCTTCTGTTACTTCTCAAGGACCATTCCATCCAGAAACCTATATTTCAGTTTTTGATAAATACTGGAAGTTAATAAATGTAATGGCCTCCTATCCTTCAGGGATTTGTATTAAGGACCTGCACACTTGAGTTCTCGGGTATGGCAGATGCACTGGTTGCCCACTCTTTTCCTACAACACAGGTGTACTTGGGGGTTGCCATTCCTCTTGAATTTTACAAGATGAAAGACTACAAGGTGGGGTAATTGAATTGCCAGAGTTCCTGAAAATAAGATGACATTGACTTTAGCTTGTTTGTTTCAACTCTTTTGCTAGTTTTTGGCAGTTATATGTGAACTGAAAAGTTGTCTTTGCTAAAGTGGTATTTAAAGTAAATGTTTTTTTGTAAATCAGATATAAATAACATAACTCATATGAATTTGAAGTTTTTTTTTCTCCCTCCTTGGAGCTTCCTTCCATGGGACACAGGTAGGATAGCAATGTAGCAGTGCAGCCAGGGGGACCATTTTATATGAAAGCTCCGAAGAGGAAATTAAAAAAAAAAAAAAAATCAATGTTAATTTCAGTTTTATGTTATATGTGTCTGATTTACCTTAGCCTGATGGTATTGACATCAACAAGAGAATTTAGAAATATCTTCTGCCAAATTTGGATTTTTAATTTTGTGGAAAACTTACGACCACAGAGGGGAACCTTGCAGAATTTGATTTTCGGCAGCAGCAGTTATTTAATAATGGTGCAAAAAGCACTAGTGGGCAGCCACTTATGGAACACGTACTAGACTGACTACTGGTGCTCTGTAATTGGTTTCTGCACGTTAAATCATGTGAACCCCGGAGTTGTGTTCCTGAACATAAATATATAATTGCTGATTGTGACTATCAGTTGTTTTTTTTTTTTCCATAATAAATTACTTATAGGATGTATGCTTGTTTTAAAATGGCAGTCTCTAGAAATTATATATTTTATGTTTTTACAGCTCAAAAGTTTCTAATATACAGCATCTCCACTGATTTTATTTAACAGGGGAGCTGTATGTTTATTTGACCATAAAGTTAAATTGGAGCTTCAGCCAAAAATACCCCAATTAAAAGACAAACTTGATTGAATTTCTTTATGCTTTTTTTGTTTTCAGGCTGCAAGAGCTGACAGTTTGTTCGGAGGACAATGCTGACGTTCACGATATAGACTTGATACAATACATTAATGTGGACTGTGCAAAACTGAAAAGGCTGCTACAAGGTTGGTGATTTCCTATGGCAAACACAATTTTTTTTTTAGCATGTCACAGGACACAGGAGAGTTAATTCTTCACCTCCTGATAACTGAACACTGGCAAATAGAAAAGCTTGACTCAGCCCTGCATATCCCCTATTATTCCCATCATTTTTTTTTGCTAGTGTTTGCAGATAATCTCTAAGACGATTTTGTGTATCTTAGGAGAAAAAGCTCCAACAACTGAATTGGGCTCCTGAGCATGCTGCACCCAGCCATAATCACAAGAGGGCCACCGGCCCAGTGCACGGATATGGCCGGTTGTCTCTTGTGCATGTGCGACTTTGCCTCAGCACTGCAGATACGGGCTACCTGCCTGCACTACTGGCTCATGCACTGCTGGGTGGACACACTGTGTATATGGGAGGGCCAATGTTGGGTTCGCAACTTTCTGGACTGGACGCCGACCTATTTTTAGTACAGGCCACAGTGCAGCTGGGGTCCTCGGGTCTCCAGATGGTGGGATACGTGGAGGCCACTCCTCCCCTTTGCATCCAGTACAATGTATATTGCACCCTTAGCAGGTACACCAGGCATGGTGGGTATGATACTAGACAGGGATTGGAGTGACTGTGCTTTTATATTAGTCATCCTTCCACAATATCAATTATGGGGCAACAGATTGACTGTAGCTCATATGCAACATACATTTTTTCTTGTTCCTTCAGGGTCTCCTTCCCCTGGTACCTTTTTTTTTTTTTTTTTTTTTTTTTTTTGTCCAATCAGGAATTCTTCAGACTTTCCAGGTGATTTCTGGCAGGCCGATGGTAAACTGTCTAAGTCTCTGTCACCACAGAAACTTCTGAGTTTTCCCTTTCACCGTTTTTAGTGTTGAGAGGGGGAAGGGTCTGAAAAGGTGGATTCCTTTTGAGGCAGACTAATTCTCTGAGAAGGGCCCTCAGCTTCAAATGTTTGTCAAACTCAGAGGACCACAGTGAGTGACCTCACATAGGTGGTCTGTAAAATTCTGAAGGATTCATTACTGGAATCTTTAAGGTCTAGAGTGATAGGGCTTGGGTCTTGGAAAGGTGTGCGTTTCTTTAGCAAGGGTGGCATTCATCCTGTCATTGCATCTCTGGACGTAAGTGTCAGGTTTTGTTGGTCTAGGTAAGTGCATGGTTTAACAACCTGGAACTCTTAAGTCAGTTTCTTTGGCTAGACAGTACTCGTAGCTCAGACTTCTGTGCAGACATCCTCTCGCTTGGAGTTATGCTGGTTCTCATGAGGTGAATACTATGGCTAAAATACTGGTCAGCAGAGCTGTTCTGAAAGAAATAACTGGAACGTAAGCCTTTCGAAGGTGAACGCCCCTTTGGCGATGCCCTGGATATATTTTGCTGGAAGCTCACAGGACGTTTACCTCTAAACACAGTTTAGACTTTGTAAAGACACAGTATTAAAACAAACCAGAAATGCCTGAGGCTCAAATATAGGTGTAGCTTTCCAAATTAAATGCATATTCTAGGTCTCATAAGGAGTCCACAGGTTCTCTCCTTTTCACAGGCAGCATATTTATAAGCTTGGTCTGTTCGGAATTTCCTTCACAAGGTTCCCTGTTCCATCCTGCTTCAGAGTTGCTGCTTCACAGTTCTGAGGTATAGGAGTCTGTCAGATTCAGTGATTTCCACCTTCCTTGCTAAAGGGCAGAAATCCCTCATTCCACAAGGTTTCCAACCACACATGGAAAACATACTGTGACTGTGAAGAGAGAAGCGTAATTGCAGGAAATAATTCAGGGACCTGGTTTCTGCCTTGGCATTGCTGTTCCAGAGACCACTATCTTCCCATTCCCCTTAGTCAAAGCCTTTGTACAAGGGATGGCTCACATTGTACAGCCAAAATGCTCTCCATTAACCCAATGGTCTAAGAATTAATTCTTCTGTGTCTTGTGATGTACTCGAAGAAAGTTGTTTACAGGTAAGTCCAAAATCTTTTTTTTCCCTTCTCTTACACAGTATTACAACCAAATTAAAGTGGTTGTAAACCCTTACATATGCCCAGTGAAGTGACGTACCTCAGGTGGTATATATAGATGAAACAATCCTCCTACATAAGTTTCATCTGTTTATCTACAGTCCTCTCTTCTCTCCATCCATTCAAAGTGCTGCATTTATACAACTTGTCTGAGAGCTCAGAAAAAAAGGGGGTGGAGAGCTGAAATTACACACTGCAGAGCTAAGTGAGGAGAGCCCCCCCTTCTTCAACACAGCTTCCAGGAGCAGAGCTGATATGATCAATCTGCTGGAGCTGCCACCCTATCATCATTTTTCTCTTGTCAGGAAAACTTTTCAGAAGTGACTCATGCAGAAGATAGCCGAGGAACGGGGCAGCAGACAGAAATGACACATAGTGCTCTTAATTGAGACAATTACACACTATAGAGAAGGCATTACTAAATGGTGGACCGCAGGCCAAATGCAGTCATTGTTCCATCCAGTACCGCTTTGGTCCCGCCATTTAGGAGCCTTTTCTTCAATCTGCCTCTTGCTGTCATCGTCACAGAACAGAGCCAACAGCAGGAGGCGGGACAGTTCTGGATGGCGGAGGGGAGCTGCCTGAGGTTAGCAAGCAAGTGATTGGTTGCTAGGGTGAAGGGTGGTCCTAGCAACTAATCACTATCTTGCAGCTCCCGCCTACCATCCAGACCTGCTGCGTTTTCCTCACTGTGTAAGGTAGGACAGAGAGGGGGAAAGAAGTTAAAGGGGGATGAGGACACCAGTGTGAAAGGGGGCTGGGGGGTAGCTGAGGACTGTAACATGGGTGTGGGGAAGGGGCCTAAAGACATTAGGGGGGTGGGGGTTGTGATGAGGACTGCCATGAAAGGGGGCTGAGGACTGTCATGCGATGGGGGCTGAGGACTGTAATGTAATGTAGGGGCTGGGCTGAGGATGGTATATTTTTGTGTGTGTGTGTGGGGGCCGCAGCAGTGCTAGTGCTGAGGACAGTAGTGTGGGGGAATGATGTAAAAAGGAGCAGAGTAGTCTGCAGTGAAAGGGGGCTAAGGACAGTACTGTTGGGGAGTTGATGTCAATGAAGTTTGAGAACACTACTGTGAAAATGGTGGAGGTGGGGTGATATAAAGGGGGAGCTGAGGAAATTCATCAGGAGGGGATCTTGATGTAAAAGGGGAGGGGACTGTGATATGCAGGGGGTACTGAGAACATTGATGTAAGAATGGGTTCAGATCTGTGCATGTGCATTTGGCGCACATCATGGGTATGTCAGCCAGTCTGTTGTGAGGGTGCAGTAAAAAAATGTCAGGGGTCAGTATGGCAGTGTACAGGTGGTCAGCAGGGTAGAGGACGTATATGTTCCTAAAGGAAAACTTGGTCTTAAACCACATCCCGATCACCCTATAGCAGATATACTGCTACAGGGCGGCAGGGGGTGCGCAAAATCACATATATATATATACACACGTGATTTTGTGTTTCCGGGCCTACCCGCGCCGCCTGCCGTGGCTGTCAATCACCGGATCCCGGCCAGTGATTACCCGCTGTGCACAGCCATCCAGAGCAGTGTGCTTACAGTGAAGTACCAATACACCGCCCCCTAGTAAAACACTTCCAGCACACGGTTAACCCTTTTATCACCCCTCATGTTAACCCCTTCTTGCCCAGTGCCATTAGTACAGTCAGTGTTTTTTATTTTTTTTTTTTAGCACTGATCACTGTATTGGTGTCACTGGGGATGTCAGTGACACCGTCAGTTCCCCCTAGTGTCAGAATGCTCGCCGCAGTCCCACTATAAGTCGCTGATCGCCGCCGTTACAGTACAAAAAAAAAAAATTTCAATCTATATACCGCCATTTGTAAACACTATAACTTTCAAGTAAACCAATTAATTTCAAAGTATTGCAATTTTTTTTTTGGTAGCAAAGACATGTAGCAGAATACATTTTTGCCTTTAATTTATGACGAAATTTGATTTTTTTTTTTTTTTACTGGACATGTTTAATAGCAAATAGTCAAAAATATTGTTTTGTTTTGTTTTTTTCTCAAAATTGATGGTCTTTTTTTTTTTTTTTTTTGTAGTGCAAAAAATTAAAGGCAATCAAATAACACCGAAAGAAATCTCAATTCGTGGGAAAAAAAGGACATAAATTTAATTTGGGTGCTGCATTGCATGACCAGGCAATTATCAGTTAAAATAACGCAGCGCCATGACACAAAAAATGCCCTGGTCAGGAAGGGGGGTAAATCCTTAGGAGGGCAAGTGGTTAAACAGTATAAACAATATGTAAACGTTGACAATATTAACCCCCCTCCCGCCGCTGCCTCCCGGCCTTTTAAGAGTAGCTAAATGGCTGTAGGCAGACGCGGGCTTTTGGGTCATGTGACCGCTGTGATTGGCTTTCACAGCAGTCTCATGATCAGCTCCTGATCGCAAGCATGCATTGGGAGCTTTCAGGTCCCTGCAGGTAACTGCTGGGAGCGTGCAGCATAGAAAAGTGTTTACATAGGACAGCTTATATGTGGCTTCTTCTGTTTTAAAAAACACACCCACCGAGTGGCCGTATATATGCGTACCATCTGCAGCAGGAGGTTAACAATACTCCTTACTAAACTGCCTGGCTTTACAACTAAAAAGCCAAGACGGCATGACAAAATGTGAGCAAGACTATTATTATAAAAGACATGGGACAGCCTGGGATGGAACAGAAAAGTTCTGCGGATGGCCAGTAAGGATTGAATCGAATCTGCACCTGCTGCATACAATGCATAATTATACCACAGTCCTTGCACCCTGAAAATACGAATTACTGTTCCACAACTGACAGTGTCTGAGACACAAATAAGCCTCAGGACATAGGATCATGTATTTTTATTCATTTGTTTATATACTTTTTTTTTTTTTGCACACAAAAAAAGATATTTTTGTCTTAGGCACTGATCAACTTCTGTACAACCAGCCTTTAGGAAAGTTTCCACTTGAACAGCACTGCCGTCTGTATCCGGCAGTAGTGATCAGTGTATTCTCTTGGCAGGGAAATCTCCCTACTATCAGATCACAATTCCTTAGCTGGAGTGATTCCTCCATTCACCTTGAATGTGTAGTATGGGCTGCCTTACTGAGCCTACCTTAAAGAATAACAATAAAACCAGCAACTGTTGAAACAATGAACACCTTGATAACGTCTATGTACAGCATAGAGTACAGCGGTCAGGAGTAAGTAGAAAAAAAAACATATGGAGTGCAGCAGTCAGGATAAGTGCCACATTCACATCAGAGTCCCCCTTTACATCCATGTCTCCGAAATCCCACCTTATATCTGTGCCCCCTCACATCAGAATCGGGCACAGTGCCCCCTTACATCAGAATTCAGTTGTTCCTAAGTGCTAACTGGACATAAAATAAACTGGATGAGTTTGTAGAGCTCCTGAAAGAAGGGGGGAGTGACAGATGGGGAGAAATGCTTACTCACCTGAGGCTGGGATCTGCAGACTCAGGCAAAAGGCATCAGTTTTGCAGCCAGGATGGATCTGCCAGCTGCTGTTCTGCAATCTCCCACCCACACATCCCCTTTCTCATGCACAGCACAGGCTGCACTCTGGGGATTGCAGTGTGAGTGAGGCAAACATAGGGGATTGGGGAGGGGGCAGTGTGCTGGCTAGGCTGTGTAAGTGTGACAGACAGCTGCTGCAGTTCCAGCTCCTCCTGATGGATGTTGTACTCAGCAGGGTTTCCAGCCATCCATGAGGGGGTAAGGGAGTTGCCTGGAGGGGCGCAACTGACGTCTGGGGGGGGGGGCACACTCCCCCCTAGATCCAGCCGTGTAGGTCAACCCATTCATTTTAATGAGGGAAATTTTACCTGCAGGAAACACGGAGAGTCCCCAACCCTTTTTCTTTTTCAAAATTGCGCTGCATCAAGGTACATGGTGCCACAGCAACATACGGTTTGGCGCACGTGAAAATGCGCCGCAGGTGCCCATGTGTGGGTAGAATTAATGGCACCTCTGCACTTCTGGTAAGTGCTTCTCTGCAGGTTGGGCACACATGCGATTTTGAGTGTGTTCCCCAGTGGTAGGGATGAGAACCTAGCCTAAGAGGAGAGGGGGGCTGTGATGTGAAGGACCTTAATCATCACACAAATGAGTTTCAGACCTCTACTGTAAGAAAATGTGTTGCCGACTGGACCTTGGTGAATTTTAATTACCGTATTTTTCGCTCCATAAGACACTCCTGACCATAAGACGAGCCTAGGTTAGAAAAAAATATTCTGAACCAATGGACTGCGGACACAGTACAGGAGATGACCAGAGACTGCGGACACAGTACAGGAGATGACCAGAGACTGCGGACACAGTACAGGAGATGACCAGAGACTGCAGACTCGAAGCGCTGCGCTTTGTGAATGGCCCGGCGTCTTCTGGGACCTGTCGTGTCCCAGAAGACACCGGGCCATTCACCAAGCGCAGCGCTTCTCTTGCAAGCGCAGTGGGCACACTGCTGTCACAGACGGGTGCCTACACTAAAGGTGTCGGCGCGGGAAGACTGTACAGCAGTGGACCGAGGAACAGGTAAGGTCCTGCTGCAGAGAAGAGCTGAGTGGCCGGCCCGGTATTTTGATACGGTGGAAATACCGGACCGGCCGCTCCATATTTGCTACATAAGATGCACTGACATTTTCCCCTTTTTGGGGGGGGGGGGGGGGTTGAGTGCGTCTTATGGAGCGAAAAATACGTTAAATACACTTGCTATAGAGGGACATGCTTTGTTCATATTTCATGCCTGAGTTTTAGAACCTCTTAATATTTGACTACAGTGAATTACAAATATATTCCAGTTCCAAAAACATGAATTGATTGCTTTTTTTTTTTTTTTTTTCAGAGACGGTTTTCAAATTTAAATCCCTGAAGAAAGTGGCACAGTTGGCGGTTATCAATAGTCTTGAAAAGGTAAAAATAACTGACAACATACACCCTAGAATTCGTAGCGCGTTAGGCCTTGTTCGAACCATATGTGAAGAAAAACGAATGGAAAAAATGCACAGCTTAAATTTACGTCAGTTTGCATGTGCACTTCAGTGCATTTTATTCATGTTGCAGATTCCTGCACAGAAATAAATCTGCATGTGATACTAGTGTTATGGTGTGAACAGGGCACGTAGAGAACAATTGTTTTCTTTGCGCCCTTCCTTGCTGACATCTCTGCACGTGGTGTGAATGAGGCCTTAGACTTAAAGTGTATCTAAGCCCAAAAGCAAAAAATGTAATATATTGGAGCTTGCTAGCCCTTGATTTGTTGACTGCATTAGTTTCCTTTTTTCAGGGGTTTTCCTTTTATTTTTCCATGGTTATCTGGCAAATAACACACTTCCTGTTCCTGGGTGGCTATGTCACTACTCCACTGTATATGGAGGGAGACCGTTTTCTCCCTAGGCTTTTATCTTCTTCTCTATTTAATGGGGGCAGAACATTTGGTAGTTTTTTATAATATACAGTGCCACTGGAAGCCATGCATGTCCATGCCATCACACTGCCTCCACCATGTTGTACAGATGTGTGCTTTGGATCATGAGCTGTTCCAAGCTTCACTACACTTTTTTCTTCTCGTCATTCTGGTACAGATTAATCTTAGTTTCATCTGTCCAAAGAATGCTTTTCCAGAACTGGTCTGGCTTTTTTAGATGTTTTTTGGCAAAGTCTAATCTGACTTTTCTATTCTTCAAGCTTATGAATGGTTTGCACCTTGTGGTGAACGCCCTCTGTATTTGCTCTCGTGAAATCTTCTCTTGATTGTAGACTTTGACAATGATGCTCCCACCTCCTGGAGAGTGTCCTTCACTTGTCTGGATGCTGTGAATGGGTTTTTCTGTACCATAGAGAGGATCCTGCGATCATCCACCACTTTTGTCTTCTGTGGACGTCCATGCCTTTTTATGTTGCTGAACTCACCGGTGCATTCTTCTTTCCTCAGAATGTACCAAACTGTTGATTTGGCCACTCCTAATGTTGCTGCTATCTCTCTGATGGATTTGTTTAGTTTTTTGAAGCCTTACAATGGCCTGTTTCACATGCATGGACAGCTCCTTTGAACGCATGATATACAGTCAGGTCCATAAATATTGGGACATCAACACAATTCTAACATTTTTGGCTCTATACACCACCACAATGGATTTGAAATGAAACAAACAAGGTATGCTTTAACTGCAGACTGTCAGCTTTAATTTGAGGGTATTTACATCCAAATCAGGTGAACGGTGTAGGAATTACAACAGTTTGCATATGTACCTCCCACTTGTTAAGGGACCAAAAGTAATGGGACAATTGGCTTCTCAGCTGTTCCATGGCCAGGTGTGTGTTATTCCCTCATTATCCCAATTACAATGAGCAGATAAAAGGTCCAGAGTTCATTTCAAGTGTGTTATTTGCATGTGAAATCTGTTGCTGTCAACTCTCAAGATGAGATCCAAAGAGCTGTCACTATCAGTGAAGCAAGCCATCATTAGGCTGAAACAACAAAACAAACCCATCAGAGAGAGAGAAAAAAACATTAGGCGTGGCCAAAACAACTGTTTGGAACATTCTTAAAAAGAAGGAACGCACCGGTGAGCTCAGCAACACACCAAAAGACCCGGAAGACCACGGAAAACAACTGTGGTGGATGACCAAAGAATTCTTTCCCTGGTGAAGAAAACACCCTTCACAACAGTTGGCCAGATCAAGAACACTCTCCAATAGGTAGGTGTATGTGTGTCAAAGTAAACAATCAAGAGAAGACTTCACCAGAGTGAATACAGAGGGTTCACCACAAGCATACCACCTCATCAGTGAAACATGGTGGTGGTAGTGTCATGGCGTGGGCATGTATGGCTGCCAATGGAACTGGTTCTCTTGTATTTATTGATGATGTGACTGCTGACAAAAGCAGCAGGATGAATTCTGAAGTGTTTCGGGCAATATTATCTGCTCATAGTCAGCCAAATGCTTCGGAACTCATTGGACGCCGCTTCACAGTGCAGATGGACAGTGACCCAAAGCATACTGCAAAAGCAACCAAAGAGTTTTTTAAGGGAAAGAAGTGGAATGTTATGCAATGGCCAAGTCAATCACCTGACCTGAATCCGATTGAGCATGCATTTCACTTGCTGAAGACAAAACTGAAGGGAAAATGCCCCAAGAACAAGCAGGAACTGAAGACAGTTGCAGTAGAGTCCTGGCAGAGCATCACCAGGGATGACACCCAGCGTCTGGTGATGTTTATGCGTTCCAGACTTCAGGCTGTAATTGACTGCAAAGGATTTGCAACCAAGTATTAAAAAGTGAAAGTTTAATTTATGATTATTATTCTGTCCCATTACTTTTGGTCACTTAACAAGTGGGAGGCACATATGCAAACTGTTGTAATTCCTACACCGTTCACCTGATTTGGATGTAAATACCCTCAAATTAAAGCTGACAGTCTGCAGTTAAAGCCCATCTTGTTTGTTTCATTTCAAATCCATTGTGGTGATGTATAGAGCCAAAAATGTTAGAATTGTGTCGATGTCCCAATATTTATGGACCTGACTGTAGGTTCACAGCAAAAGATTCCAAATGTAAATATCACACTTAGAATCAACTCCAGACCTTTTACCTGCTTAATTGCTGAAGAAATAACGGAGTACCCCACACTTGGCCATGATACAGCTTTTGATTCAATTGTCCTGTTATTTTTGGTCCTTTGAAAAAGGGAGGATGGCTACTCTTAAAAGCTGTAAATCCTAAACCCTTCCTCCAGTTTGGCTGTACATTAAACCTGAGAGTGTGCACTTTCAGCCCATATCCATTATATAACTATAGCTTGAATATGTTTTGGCAAATACCTGAAAAAACTAAAATTGTGCCTGTGTCCAAATATATATGGACCTAACTGTAGCTAAGGCAGGCCATAAATGATGCATTTTTTTTTTTGTTCAACCAGTGAAGGCCTCCACTCATCTCTATGCCCTTGGAGGACCAGAGCGATGTCACTTCCAGTTCTGGTGCCTTGTAAACAAGACCTTCTTCTTCTTTTTTTTTTTTTTTTTTTTTTTTTTAAAGCATTATATCAATGCTTTTTTTTAATCTAATGCTTTACATTGTAGAGGAGATATGTGAGCTCTTATTTGACCCCATATCTCCATAAAGAGGACCTGTCACTAATTATTTCTATCACCTGGGATGCATGCATGGGGATAGGAATAAAAGTGATTACACTTTTTTTTTTTTTTTTTTTTTTAAAGGGACAGTGTAAAAAAAAAAAAATCAAAAGTGCCGCCGTCCCCCAGTGCTGGCACATAGTGGCAAACACATACGTAGGCCATGCCCACATATGTAAATGGTGTTCAAACCACACGTGAGGTATCGCCACGAGCGTCAGAGAGCAATAATTCTAGCACTAGACCTCCTCTGTAGCTTTACACTGGTAACCTGTAGCAATTTTTAAAGTGTCACCCATGGAGATTTTTAAGTACCGTAGTTTGATGCCATTCCACGAGTGTGCGCAATTTTAAAGTATGACATGTTGGCTATCTATTTACTAGGCGTAGCATCTTTCATATTTTACAAAAAAATTGGGGTATAGTTTTGTTTTGTTTTTTTTTTTTGTTTTTTTTTTTTTTAAATCATTAAAGTGTATTTTTTTTCCAAAAAAATTGCGTTTGAAAAATATACTAATTTTTAAAAACTGTCCATTTCGGTTTTCGTCCAAGTGCATCCTGAATTTTTGGTTTTGGCAGCAGAAGTTTCATTTCTGTGCACCACTATCTTTTGTCTGACAAACTTTATCCTTTCATCTTAAGAAAATTCATTCACACAGTTATGCTGACAGTCATCTGAATACATTAAGCCCATCTTCAAGGGTTTTAACAAACTCGCTGTAGTATTATTTTTCGGTTGACTTGTGCTTTTGCGCAGTAATATTTTCCCCAACTTGATCACCTCCCTCCGACCCCTGCATCAAACAACATTAGATTGAACTAAGACACTTTCAGTTTAATCATTGGTCAAGGAATTAGCAGTCTTAGGAAACCTGTCTAATACTGACTTGGTAATAAGTTCTACAGATTCTTAATGGCAGTGTATGGCTTAAAGGATTAGTTCACCTTCACCAAAAGCTGCCTGTGCAGGTAAGATGTGCTTGGGCATTGCTAGGCAGTCCCAGATATTACTGCTCACACCCACCATCACAGGAGCAAGCTCTCAAACCCCATCACATGTGTGGTCCACTCTCTCATCTGTCGCTGAACTATGGCGTTCCAAGCTACTGCGACAGAGTAGAGTGTTAATCAGCACTCTACATGGAGTAGCGGGACGAGGTTACCCTGATGACAGCATTAAGGTCGGGTGAGCGGACTCTGCCCAGCATACTGGTATCCCGATACTAGGGTCCTGTTTACTTTTGCCAAGGGTTAGCTGAGCCACTGTAACCTTGCTGACTCTGTTCCTAAGCTCTATGACGGTGGTACGCTACTGCTCTTCCTATAACTCGCCTACCACTGTCAGCACCTCTTCATATCCTACTCTACCCACTTTGCAACTTGACAGGCACCATTGCCTCTATTTACTCATAGGAGATATCTCTATTGGACAATCTTTTATGGGTCTTATGTGGGTCCGTCGTGCTGTTGTTATGTCCATAAAAGGCTCCACAGATTGAAGTGCATACTACCAGTGTATTGTCATTGACTGTCTTCTTCTGCCAAACCAACATATAGATTGAGCTGTATTATATACATACCTTTATTGGGTGGCTATCATACGTGATATAAGTAAGCAGCATATCATACTAATACTCTTCATATGAAGTGTCTACTTGGGAAATCTGAAGCCACTCAGTACCCTATACTTGGATTCACTTCCATATATCTACGTTCTAGGGGACTGTTTGATATTGCTATCATTATCACTATTTTTGATCCTGCGAATTATATGTATACTGCCCCTTGAATTTTTCCATATGTGGAAAGTCTCCAGTGTTCTATTGACATCACATGATCCTTGGGGCTCTCTGACATTCCATTCTGCCTGCTGATCGGGTGTGCAATGCTTGTGTGAGTGCATGTGGTTTGGGCTGGGATCCCGGGACAGGTGTTCTTTGGTTTATTTTATTGATGGCAACGTTGTCATGCTTTTATATGTGTAAGTTGGAGGGAGCTGGAGTTTTGTGCAATTTGTTTATTACCATGCCAATAAACATTATGTTTTAAGCCACAGTATGTTCTCTTGCGGACTTATTTTCCAGTGGGGTCTTACTCACTGGGCTATTTTCTTATTAGAGTGTTAATTGTGCCTATGCAGTAGCCTGAAATATGTAAGTTTTTTTTCTTAAATTCATGCTGAAAATAGCAGTTCAGTTACTGGTATGTGGGGGTGCCTAGACATTCCTATTCTGATGCCTCATAGCTGTATATCTGCACTGTGAGTTCTAAGGCACTGCTACCTCTTAAAGCTAGTCTCATCAGATGTGGCGTGAGATTTGGTGATGACATTACTCGCTTCTCACTGTTCTTTGCTGGAAGCTCTAACATAAGGAAGCAAAAGTCCTGCCTGTAACAAGGTGACCACCTCCACACAGACACACAGTGCAGAAAAAGGTACAAGCTGGTAAGAGGGAAGGGCCATCAACAGGGAGACTGTAGATAAGGCTTATGACTAGTCATTTCAGTTTTTTTTTTTTTGTTTTTTTTAAATCGATACTGCGTATTGAAATACATTTCTGAAGACTGTTGCAGGAAACAGCTGTTTTGTGTCAGTACATATAGTATTTATAGCAGCTCTTTCCAGTCATTGCTTTTTTCTGAGAGGTTTGTGCATATAGTTTTATTATTTGTATTCTGTATTTTGCAGGCATTTTGGAATTGGGTTGAAAATTATCCTGATGAGTTTACAAAGTTATACCAGAGGCCTCAGACTGATATGGCTGGTAAGTTTTCTGCAGGTCCACTATTTTGTGTAAACTTCAGAGTGGTGATACTAAGTTCTTATTTTTTTCCTAATTTTATTCCACTCTTCTCGCTAAATTTCAAGCATCAGTGGTTGTTCCGGCTAAAGATCAGTGGTTCAAAGATTTGGGCCCTATAACAGATAACCAGTGGGAGATAGTGTTGTCTGCACTCACAGGTTAGTTTATCTTTGCCCACAAACTAACAGTTATTTTTTTTTGCATTGGACATACACTTGTGCTCAAAAATGTGCATACCCTGGCAGAAATTTTGAAATGTTGGCATTATTCTTGAAAATATGACTGATCATGCCAAAAAAATGTATTTAAGGATAGTGATTATATGAAGCCATTTATTATCACAGTTGTTTGGTTCTTTTTTTAAATCATTATGATAACAGAAGTCATCCAAATGGCCATGATCAAAAGTTTACATACCCTGGAATGTTTGGCCTTGGTACAGACACACAAGATGACACACACACAGGTTAAAATAGCAATTAAAGGTTAATTTCCCACATCCATGGCTTTTTTTTAAACAAAAGCATTTATATTTATTTCTTTTGCACAAGGGTTCGAACAAGGTGTACAAAATTAAACATAGACCCAGACAAGGTACAAAAATGAGGCAGGGTACCCTGAAACCAGACTCGGGTCTCTTAATAGACCATGCAGGGTCATGCATTGAAAATGTCTGCGTGGTAGATCTGTGGCTTTTTAAATTGCAATTAGTGTCTGTGTGTAAATAGTCACTGAGTTTGTTAGCTCTCATGTGAATGCACAGAGCAGGCTTAGATACTGAGCCATGAGAAGCAGAAAAGAACAATCAAAAGACCTGCGTCTAATGGAACTTTATAAAGATGGAAAAAGGATGTATATCAAAAGCCTTTAAATATTCCAGTCAGCATTGTTCAGTCACTTGTTAAGAAGTGGAGAATTTGGGGATCTTTTGATACCAAGTCAAGGTCAAGTAGACCAATAAAATTTGCAGCCACAACTGCCAGAAGAATTGTTCGGGATACAAAGGAAAACCCACCGGTAACCTCAGAGAAGTGTGGTTGTTTTTAAGGCGCATAATATGACCATACTTGTCCCGTTTCCCCTGGAACCTCCCATGTGTGTGTGTGTGTACAAAGGCCAAACATTTCAGGGTATGTAAACTTTTGATCATGACCGTTTGGGTGATTTCTGTTAGTATTTAAAAAGGAGCCAAAACTTTATTATGTTATAACTTGGTTATGTTATACCTCCGTAATATAAGTTATTGATCCTTTCCTCTGGCAGTTTTACTGTATCATTTTCTTACATCCATATGGATCATAACCTCATCTGTGATGTTTTTTTGGTTGTTTATCTACTTGTACATGTTCGTTATACTTCTCATGCTATGTCTGTTAAATTTATGCAAAATAATAAAGAGAAATTTGCCTTTAAAAAGGAGCCAAACAACTATGTGATAATAAATGGCTTTGCATGCTCAGTCATATTTCCAATATCAATGCCAAAATGTAATGGTTTCTGCCAGGGTATGCTAACTTTTGAGCACTACTGTACCTCACTTCAGAAAAACTGTTTGCCTGGCATCAACAGTCTGATCCACATGATGTGGAGATATTATAGATCTATCATAGATATTGGAAAGGGATTCTGACTACCATAAGATCATTTTTTCAGGTTACTTTAGCAGAAGATCCTGGGATATGTTTATTGAACATGGTGGATGAGGCTACTTTAACAGAAAATACATATGTCCCTATTACTTGAGTGTTATTTCAAGCCTGCAAATTAATTGCTCGAAAATGGTTATTTCCCTATTGCCCAACCTTGGAGGAACTTAGTTCTTTTTTTTTTTTTCCTCCACGCCCTCCCCCCTTTGGATGAAATTTTCAATTATTGAACACAAAAATGCAAGTTGTCAATACCAGGAAGCTACATGTTTATCCAGCAGATGGGACACAAAACCACTGCAAAGATTTAAGTTCTAGCAAATCTGATGTATGTTATCTTATGCTGACTGAACAATTCTTGTTCATTGAAGGACAGAGGAGATCTTTTACATTTGGGTAATATCACTTCCTTGAGGAAGATTGGACACTGGCAAACAAAACAAAAAAAAGCTGTAGGCCTGCCCATAAAAACCCTTCCTTATGCCAGAACGGTGGATGTCTCTTCACCTCTGCTGTGTAAGACTAACCTTAAACCTTTGGGTTTTTTTAATATTGAAATATTTTATACTTACCTGCTTTGTGCAATGCTTTAATCAGAGCTGTCCCTAACCTCCTCTTCTGGGGTCCCCTGCCAGCGCTCCCACAGAAAGCCGCCTTGTCTGCGTCCATTGACACAGTGCGAACAGTGTAGAAGGCATTATGGTGAGAAACCTTAAGTCTTTAGAACCACTTTAATCATGAGCTATTTGCTGCCACCTTCACTTGTGTGGACACAGGGAAAGAAAGCAGCAGTAAAAACCCCTATAGAACACCTGCCACTCCCAGTAAACTTCAGTTTTTTGCTTCCTTAGGTAAAGGCTATCTTCTCTCTTCTCAGAGAAGCTTGGTTATAACACGTGGAGTTTTTTTTTTTTGCTTAAAGAATATTTTGTCAAGATTCCTAGCTGCTCCATAGCCACTGAATGTTCCGGATTGGTTGACTCCTCGACTGAGCCTTAGGGCACCATGTCTGGATGAAGATGCAAGGCCAGCCTGTAAAGTACTGGATCCTGTGTGGGCGCTCACCTTGACACATGGTGCATTATGTTGTGTTAGCTGCAGAGTGCTATACATGTCCAGGGTTGTGGTCTACTGGCAGAGCCCTGTCTTGAATATCCTTTTGCGGGTATGCCTGTGGGAGGTTGAAATTTTGTCCTGGATGCCAACAGGGGATGCAGTTGGAGGTGACTTAGTCACACTAACACCATACCACAGCTAGTGAGTAACTAAAAGCTTGTCCCGTTTCACCTGGAACCTCCCCTATGGAGTTTCACCTGACTGTGCTACTACACTTTAAATATACTTCACAGACATGCTGTCGAGGCTTCTGTTGCATGCACGTCGTGTGTTGTTATACATTATTTTGTTCATGGAGGGACACAGGTCCCGTTCCCTTGTGTTTATGATCATACCCTCTGTATTCCTTTGCTTTGAAGGTAGCATAGGTTATCCTGGGCTGGCCTACAGTTCTTTTTGTTTGCCAGTATCCAATCCCCCATAGATAACAGTTTACCTCTGAAAGTTTAAGAATTCCTATGTCCCTCAGTGAATTTCAAGTAAGGATTTGTATGAAGCGTCCAAAATTCCTATCTTACTCTTTGTCGCTTTACCTGTGCAGCACGTTTATTGGAAGAATTCCCCATTTTAAATTTCTGATCAGAAATTTTTGTTTTTCAACAAATCATGCATCTTCTGTGACTTAATTTTGTCAAATAAGCAATGTGCAATTTCATAGCTTTTTCAATATTTGCCAGTTTTCAAAGTTCCTCCTTAAATCAAGCGTGTCCACCAGCATGCCCAGTTAAATCAAGTTTTTCTCCCCAGGGGTCAACCTGTACTGAGGACTGGCTGGTTGACTTTTTGAATAGAACTGTCTTGCAAACTGGGACTAGACCACGGGTCGCCATTTAGTGATATCTGGTGTACAGTCTGCTTCTATCTTTTACATCCTTTTTATATGGGATAGAACTAATGCTGTAAGTGTTTGTATATAAAGCACTTTCTTCATTAGTATGACGTAAATCCCTTGAGTAATGGCAGTAATCACAATGTTGGGAAGGTACAAGTTGTGCATGTTGGACTTTGTTGTATTTGGGAAAGATACTCTGTCAGCGTCCTTCAATTTCCATTGAAAAGAAGCAATCTTTTTCTGTGCAAATATTAACATAAATGAGTTTGCAGTGATACATTGCCTTAAAAAAAAAAGTATTCATACTCCTTGAAATTTCTACATTTTGTCATGTTACAACCAAAAACGTAAATGTATGTTATTTAGATTTTATGTGATAGACCAGCACAAACGTGGCACATAATTTTTAACTGGAAGGAAAATGACAAATGGTTTTACATTTTTTTTTTTTTTTACAAATATGTGAAAAGTGTGGCATATATTTAAGTTTTGGTTGTAATATGATAAATGTGGAAAATTTCAAGGGGTATGAATACTTTTTCAAGTCACTGTATATTGTTTAGGAGGTCTCATCTCTTCTAACAGTTATAAAAGCTTGCATCTACAGTTTCTGTACCTACTTTTTACCTAGCATGAAACACTCTACTTAAAGTAAACTTATCAGGAAAAATGCATGCCATGATGATCAGTAGATCCAGAGATGCAGGCACTTTAAATTATATACAAAGCTTGACATTTTCTGTAAAAGTTAAGATTGGTCCTACTTCTGTCTACCCTGCAGGTTGAGCATCAGAAATGATCACTAAGGCCCCATTCAAACCTCAGTGTTTTGTAGTTTGAAGCACTATGGATCTGGTTCACATCTCTACTCCAAGTGACCTAAAGCCAAACATCTGAAGCTCAAAGTTTTAGACTTTCTTTTGTAGCTTGATTTGGGCAGATTAGTGTGTTTTTTTTTTTAACTTTTTTTTTTCCCCCATAGAAATGCATTGAAATGAGTGATTCACATGTTTCCACACAATTTTGAGTGTTTTTCTGGACAAATGTAGTAAATTATAAAAAAAAAAATAATCATATATATAAAATAAACGTGTAATTGGGATAGCAAAGAATTTTGTCTTTGTGGTGGAAGATAGAATGGTCAATATAGGGGGTCCATTTTTGTTCCTGAGAAGGAAATTACAAGGAGTAAAATGTACATTAGCAAATATCTACTGCCCTAATAAGAATCTGATGGTATATCTGGAGGGTATCTTGAAAAATCTTATGGATTTCAAGAGAGGACAGCTGATTGTGGCAAGTAATTTTAAATTCTGTATGGATCCATTGATGGCTGCGTCAACATCAGCGTGGAGGGAGGGATGTGGTAGTCTTAAATTGGTTAAAAAAATGTTCTGTCAATGTCAGTTGATGGACAGATGGCGAATCAAATATCCAAGGGATAAGGACTACACCTTCTTCTCTCCGGCGCATGGGACTTATTCAAGGCTGGACCATATAATGATAGAACATAGATTTTTGGATTCTTTGGTAAAGGTTAATATTGAAGTAATCTCACTATCAGATCGTGCATCTGTTACAATGAGTTTAAGCTGGGGAAGAGAGAGGATCAGAAGCAATATGTGGAAACTAAATGAAACGTTAATACAGGATGTGGAGACAGAGATGAGACTAAAGAAGGAAATAGAGCAATATTTTATCCTCAACAAAACTGAAGGGATATCGGTTGCGACAGTATGGGAGGCACATAGGGCATATATTAGGGGCATTTTGATATTGATAGAAAAAAAAGACTGTGAGAAAAAAATGAAACTGTTAATTAAGAAATTATATGATCTAGAACAAGCACATAAAAAAGAACATAGATGTTGAAATACAACAGAAGATAATTTTGAAAAGAGGAACTAAAGGATATAATGGAACAAGAAACTAGGAGAGTATTTTTTAACGGGGTGGCAAAGGAAAGATATCAGTGGGGAAATAGACCAGGAAAATACTTAATGAGAAAGGTAAGAAAAGAAATCAAGGAATTATAGAAAAAATCAAAGATGAGAACGGAAAAATGGTCTATTTAACTACTGATATTGCAAAAGTGTTCCAAATATATTATAGTAAGCTAAAAGATTTGAAATCTAATAACTCGAAAGAATCTGAAGGAGTGAGAAAGGAAAAAAGGAAGTTATATGTAAAAGAAACCGGACTTCCTAGGCTAGAGGAGAGGTTACTGGAATTGGAAAGACCAATCTCGCAGGAGAAAATCAATGGGGTATTGAGAAGCATAGCTGTAGGAAAAAGCCTGGGAAAGATGGCTTCATGTTGAGATATTATAGGAAATTTCAAGAGCAACTTGTGCCCAAAATGTGCGTGCATATGAATATATTGGGAGGGGAGATGAAAATGAGGGAAGAGTCGTTACAGGGGTATATTACAATTATACCAAAAGAAGGGAAAGATCCATCCCAATGCACCAGCTATAGGCCCATATCGCTCGTAAATATAGACACAAAATTATATGCTAATGTTCTGGCAAGCAGGATGAAGGAGTTGATACTAGATTGGATCCAGGTGGGATTTGTGCCAGGACGGGAGGGCAGAGATAACGGATTAAGATCATTGCGCCTTTTGTAAATGAGGGAGACTGATTCGGCGTTGATCATGTCAATTGACACCAAAAAAGCCTTTGACAGGGTAAATTGGGGATTCATGATGGGCACACTTGAAGCTTTGGGAATTGGACCTAGGATGATTCAGTGGATAAAAAAGTTGTATACTTTCCCTTCAGTGGTGAGGGTTAATGGCGCACTGTCAAAATGCTTTATAATGTATAATGGAACAAGACAGGGATGTCCACTCTCTCCATTGCTTTTTGTTATCTCTCTGGAACCTCTGTTAGCGATGGTTCGAAAGAGCATAAATGTAAACGGAATCTCGATAGGAAATGAAGATCATAAAATAGCAGCTTACGCAGGCGATATGTTATTTTATATCGTGAACCCTAGAATAACACTACCCAATATAGTGAGTATTTTAAAAGCTTATGGTGAACTATCAAATCTGAAGATAAATCCCTCAAAATCAGGGATATTAAATATTATTTTCAGAAAAAGAGAAATGGATACTACAGAAAGCTTTCCCTTTCATATAGAAGGAAAGGGCGCTAAGTTACTTAGGAGTAAAGCTTACTCCCTCCTTGAAAAATCTTTATCAGAGTAACTATATCCCATTAATAAATGAATTAAAGGAAGAATTGAAGAGAATATCTATTGGGTCACTCACCTGAGCGGGTCGTATAAATATGATAAAGATGGTGATAGCCCCAAAGATTCTATATAACTTTCACATGCTCCCAATAGTTCTACCAGGATCCTTTTTTAGGATTATATATAATAAAAAAAAATGCCCCCCCCCCCCCCCCCAATAGTCAAAAATTTTTAGGCTCCATGCACACTAGTGGTTTCTTAAGCTCCTAGAAGGTAATATTAGCATTTTTTTTTTTTTTACCTGCTTCTAGCATCTACTAGTGTTATCCTATGTGTCCATGCACACTATTTTATGCTAGAAGTATTTTTCAAGCTTCAGAGCAGAAGAAAAAAAGATTTTTGTAGAGTTTTTGGGAGCGTTTTTCCCGGCAGAAAAAAAAGCTACAAAAACGCAAATGCAGCTTTTTTTCCAGGTGTGTTTTTATCCCCTTCATGTACTATGAAAATGCTAACTCTTCTTTAAACTCTCCTAAATTATACTATAAGCCATCACAGAAATGCTATTCTCAACATTTTTCATCCAGCATTTTTTTCTAGCGTTTTTCGAACTTATAAAAAACGCTACTGTGCATGGAGCCTTATCTATCTAAAACAAACTGGCCCTGACCCTGACCCTCACCCCTTACACTGACCAAACCCTGATCTAGATATTTTTTTTTATATTTTTTAAACACTTTTTTTTTTTTTTTTTTTTTTTTAAACATATTACCATTTTTTTGCATTCTAGCAAGGAGAAAAACTGTGTTTTTTTTTTTTTTCCATTCAAGAGGTTGGATAGTTTTTGATCACACTGTTAACTAATCATAGGCTTTGAATGCTAATCAGTCCTCCAGGCTCCCAATCATTAACACGAGACCTGGAGCCACGGAAGAAGACCCACTTCTGTAAGTCTGCATATGTGTGTGCTCGTCATCAAAGGGTTAATGTAAGAAATAGGTAAGCAGTAACTGTACAAAAAATATATATTTTTTTTCTCTCAGCATCATTTTCGTTTTTGTTTTTTTTTTCCCAGATTGTGCAGAGAAATTGTTTGACCTTGTGGACAGTTTTGCGGAAAGCAACAAGAGAAAAGTAGCAGTTTGGCCCCTGCAAATAATTTTACTTGTTCTGTGCCCAGAAATTATCCAGGACATTTCTAAGGAAACAGTAGAAGAAAGCAAAATGAACAAGGTGAGCAAGACTGGAGAATATCTTGTAATGTTTTTATGTTCATATGTTCATTCCTTTACAACATGTTGAAGGATTAGTATTAATTTTTTTTTTTTTTTTTTGAGGAGCTAAAGGCAAAACTTTTTTTTTTAAAGTTGTTTAGACAAAGTTGAGATGGGTTAAAACACCTGTCAAGTTTTTATTTCTGTTTGTTTCCCCATTAGGGAGGTTCACCCTCTCTCTGTCCTGTTTATTATTATCGTTGAAAGTGAAAGTAAGAGAAATTCACAAATTTTGGGTTCTCCTCAGAAAATTAATAGAGCGGTTATCTCCCAATGGGGGAACACTAGTTCTGATGACCATGGGGTCCCCAAAGGATTCTGTTTATTTGCAGGGATTTTCTTTCACTTCCTGTTTTGGCAATGAGACAGGAGGTGAAGGTTAAAGTGTTACTAAACCCACAACAGTAATATCAGTCTGTATATATAGTAAAGCATGCTTGTTATATTCACTGTGGAATTGAAGGGGTTAATCCTCTGCATTGTGTAAACAGGCTGTTTGATCCTCTTCTCTGCCCCTCCTCTTGTTGAAATGACAACCTGATACAGACTGAACCCGTGGTCACATGCACATGCTCAGTTTGGTGTGTCTTGCTAGAGAGTTTTTTTGTATTTCTTGAGAGAGTGCATGTGATCAGTACAGGGCTAATCAGCACTGTCCAGACAGAGGGTCAAAGGTTTCACTTCCTCCTAGAGCAGAAAGAAAACGCCTCCTACAAGCTTTAACCATTGCTCTGCGGACGACACAAGACTGTTCTAACTGCTGATGAGAAAAGGTATTTAGCAGTTTATATTTGCAAAACTAATTGCATTTCCATGTGTGTACTGTGGGAGACCAGATATAGTGAATGCAGGGTCCTGGGTTTAGTAACACTTTAATCTCCCCAATGGGGCAAAAAATTTAAAGTTTTGCATATAGTTCTACTTTAATTTGGGTTATGTCGAGGTGATGTCTGCAACTACAGGCATCATTGCAGTATCAAAATTTTCAGCTGGCAATTCCCTGTAATGTAGAGCAATTAGTGGCTATAGAGCCACACGACCACTTTTACAGGCTTTGGAAATGGGTGCTCCCCCAATTTGTTTTTCGGACATTTCCGACTTGTACAAGCAGCTGATCAAACTGAAAGTGATCTTGGTTTGAACAGATGCTTTCGAGGCCAGAAGAGACATCTGGGGTCTAATAGATTCTCATAAAGAGGACTATGGCCCTAGCTATCACAAAGGGTGTTGTTTATCCCTTTTGATAGCAATACAGTTGATCAAACATAAAAAAAGAGACCTTGTAAAATAAATAAAATAAAGTGCTTCAGTTCACCCTGTACTCACCCTTAATTGCAAAAGCATATGTAATCCATGCAACCATGTAAACGGTGTTCGCACCTCACATGTGTTGGCACAAAGGTCAGAGCGAGAACAGAACTGCAACATTTGTATCATGTTTTTTCTGGATGTTTGTTTTTTTTTGTCAATATTTAAAATACACCTATGATAAAAATTATAGACCCTTAATTTCTTTGTAAGTGAGCAAACTTACAAAATCTGCAGGGGATCAGATAATTTTCCCCACTGTATGTGCTTCTTCTGTAACTTTCGTTTAGCTCCAAAATGTAAGCATATCGTAACCCAAAAATAAAAATGTAATATTTTGCAGTTTACCAGTCTTTAGGGTCCCTAAAATACCTTAGGTAAGGTAGCTATATTAGTTTTTTTTTTTTTTTTTTTTTTTGTCTCTTCTCCCCCCCCCCCCTTTATTTTCACTTGATAATCCTGCAAGTAACACATTTCCCTTTTTGGCTACACTTGCTTTTCCACTGTATCTATGGGGGCAGCCACGTTGCAACTCAAGCTGGGCTTCAAACATAGCTGTTTTTTGTTCTTCCTTACATGTTAGTTAATGAGTAGTTTACACAAGGAAGACATTTTCTGCTTCCAGTTCACATTTCAGTAAGTGCATTTATGGCAAGATCAACAAGTATTTCTGGTACTTGCTAAACATGCTCTTAGCCTGGAAAATTATCACAAAAACACCACATCCAAGGAGACCAGAAATTTACAATATAGTGCATTTTTGCTTGTTGCTTTGGATACATTTCAAAACTTTACATGACTCGATGAGGCACATTTCTGTACCAATTATCTTTTAATGTTTTCAGTAGAAAATACTCTTGCTTGACATGAAAATAATAAACTGGTCCCTGACTCCCTCAAATTTCCTGTGGTCTCTGGTATCGAGGTGCAATGTGGATCTTTTTGTTGAGAATTCGGAGTCTGTTTAGTCAGACTGCCTGGTAGGCTTGCAAGGAGACAGAATCAATGAGAGAGAACACTGGGCAGCAAAATTAAGTAGTCTGCTTAGGCTGTGCGCACACAGATATTTTGCTCACCTAGTGGGTTAAATGGAAAAAAAAACTTGACAGATCCCCATATCAATATATCCCCATATCAATGTAAGTGATCTGGATGCAGGAATCTCTCCTACTGTGTCTTTGTATTTTGACAGGGGTGCCTTCCCCTGCCAAAATATGCTGATCATTGCTTTCAGAAGTGATGTAATGCACGTCTTTCGTGTTCATTCTAGCTATGGAAGATCAGAGAACCAGAGATCGCCTGGTCATTGGTCTCCCTCCCCTCTACCCAGTGACACCTGCCAAACATGCTGAGAGGGGGGAATCACCTTAACTGGAATTCACAGTTCCCTTCCACTTGACAGCCAACAGTTGGCTTGTCCAATTTATTCACTTCTGTCTTTTGTAGCAGCCAGGAGTGTGTGTAAAATGCCCCACTGCTGCAGACATGTGACATACAGCTGTGTACATAATAATAGCAATCCAACATTAATAACCAGATCAATTGCTGGTTTTGGTATAAATTATATTTCTACATGGCAAATAATTTACTAGTAGGTGTAGTAGAGTAATAGAAAACCAACAGACCCAACAGTGATGACATGCATGCTTCTGATTCTGTGTAATTGAATCATTAATTGAAAGGGGCGCGTTCAGAATAATAGCAGTGTGCAGTTCAGTTAGTGAGGTCATTCAGTCTGTGAAAAAAGGTGTCAAACAGGTTGCCCTTATTTAAGGACGAAGTCAGCAAATGTACATTCTGGCTATAGAGCATGGGTCGTTCCTGACATTCAGAAGAATGGCATACTTTGATAAAAAAGTTGATTGGAGAGGAGAAAACAAAGATGTGCAGAAACTGATAGGCTGCTCAGCTAAAATGATCTCAAATGCTTTATAATGGCAACCAAAACCAGAAAGATGTGTGAGAAAACCGAAAACTACCATTCGATGGGATCAAAGAATAGCCAGAATGGCAGACTCACCCAATGATCAGATCCACGGTGATCAAAGAAGTTATAAAGTTACCTGTGAGTACTGTAACAATTAGAATATGCCTATGTGAAGCCAAGCTATCGACAAGAAACCCCCGCAAAGAAAATGATGTGCTGAATAGATTACAATTTGCCAAAGAACACATTGACTGGCCTAAAGAGAAATGGCGCAACATTTTGCAGACTGATGAAAGAAAGATTGTTCTTTTGGGTCTAGGGGCAACAGACTGTTTGTCAGAGGACCCGCTAACACTGAATTCAAGCCATAGTACACTGTGAAGACAGTGAAGCATGGTGATGCAAGCATCGTCATATGGGGATGTTTCTCATACTATGATGTTGAGCCTATTTATTGCATACCAGAATTCATGAATCCCTTTGAATACATCAGAATACTTCAAGAGGTCATGTTGCTTTTATGCCAAAGAGGAAATGCCCTTGAAATTGGTGTTTTCAACAAGACAACGACCCCAACACATCAGGAAGCGAGCAGCATCTTGTTTCCTGACCAAAAAGATTAAGGTTGTGGAGTTGCTAGCACACTCCCTGGACCTTGATCCAATAGAACACTTCTAATGTAAAACTAAGAAATATAGAGGAATTGTGGAATGTAGTGCAATTGTCCTGGGCTGGAATACCTGTTCACAGGTGTGAGAAGTTGGGCGACTCCATGAAACACAGATGAAGTTGTTCTCAGAAACAGTGGTTATACAACTAAATTTTCAGTGAATCACAGGACAGCTAAATCTTGAAGCATTTTTCAGTTTATACAGTAAATGTTTGAGATTGTAAAGAAAAATGCAGACAAATTTGAAACATTCTTCTTCATGTTAAACTATGATAAGGATTTTTAGCTTTACTCGCTTTTTAAACCCACTATTATTTTGAACACAACTGTACGTTGTTAGTAGTGAAAGGGATAAAGGACTACTTCATGTCAACCCAGTGCAATGAAAGCCACATACCTAAATTTGTACCTTCAAACCTGCGGCGTTCACTCTGCAAACCTTTCTTGTGCAAATAAATTACTGGCCGCATCTAGCTTCTACTATGCATGTGTGTCACTTGCTCAATTTATTCCTTTGGCTGGGTATGGACCCAGCCATGTTGATTGATTCAGCAAGCAATGCTCTTGCACAATAGAAGGTAGACACAACTAGGACTGTGCATGGCTATGTGATTCCACTGAAAGGGGTATAGGATGATTATCTTTTAATGCCCCTCTCCCAGCACCTTTTTGCTCTTTGACCACTTGCTTTCTGTGTGATGTGATGGGTTTTCCTGTTCCTTGGGATCCTAAGTCGCGTCTCCTAGGTAGGTTATACAAGTAAACTGCATGTAGACACTTTGCTTTGAAAGCTAAATATCGGATGTCTGCTAGCCCTCGAAACCTGACCAAAGGAAAGGAGAACAGAAGAAAATAACTGTCTTTTGAAAAAACTTATTTATAAGAATCGATGTCCCAATAAGTACAGCAAATTGTAGTCTGTAAACAAAATAACTGCCTTTCTGTAATAATCCATTATTGTAATGTCTTCCTGTGGGTGCAGATGAACAGCCTAGTATGTGCTTCGATAACCTTGTTTTTTTTTAAATATTGAAACATGCCATATATTTTTATGTCTGCATATATATTTACTTGTTTTTTTTCTGTGTACAGTTAGTTTTGGTTGCATGATTGCCAGATACATTTGCTTTTGTATAGACAGCTGACTTTTAAAGTTTTACTGTATAAATAAAATACTTGATTACCACACAGTCCCAATAGAAAGGAGCTGCGAGCTTAAAGCGGTATTAAACCCAAAAGCAAACAAGTATATTATTGCAGCTGACCAATACATAGGCCCCTTTCACACAGGGTCTGATAGGTCGACCTCTTAGTTTTTCAGGCAGACCTGATCAGATGGTCCATTCACCCCAAGGACAGGCGAGTGCAAATGGACTTGTTTCTGTTTACACCCACCTACCTCTGGGTCCTATCCAGTATAGAAAAAAAAACAAAACCAAAGGGTTTCTGTCTTCTTACGTGTAGCCAGAACAGATTGGAGGGTAGTTGGTTGTAAACTGACAGTAGAGTTTAACACCTGGCTGCCCACAGAGCAGAACTCTGCATAAACTGAATGGGCATGGAAGTGCCACCTGCCCGTTCTCCAATCAGCAGGGGATCTGTGATCGGATTCCCTGTTGATCGGGATGGAGTCCTCCCTGTCTGAAGGGGGCCTTAGATGTGTTGCCTGCATTAGTTTTCATTTTTATGCTTTTTTTCCCTTTTATTTTCATTGGTGATCCAGCCAGTAAATCTGTTTTTCTACAGAACAAGCTCTATTGCCAATGCAGCTAGTGTTGAGACAGTTTACCACTGACATGGGTCCTTACAATGATTAGATTTACTTATTCATTTAAAACTGTTATCCCAAAATAAAAGCCAAATGTAACTTTGTAAGAACCACCTACTTGTGTAAGATTTATCATACAAATCTTTTTTTTGTTTTAGAAATTGTTTCTTGAAAGCCTCAGGAAAGCCCTAACTGGCCATGGAGTAGGGAAACCACTTACAGAGAGTGCTGCAATTGCTTGTGTGAAGTTGTGTAAAGCCTCCACGTATGTCAACTGGGAAGATAATTCTGTCATATTCCATCTGGTTCAGTCGTTAGTCATTGACTTAAAGGTGAGCACAGCCATATATTGATGCTTTTTCTTTAGCGTCTGCCATTTTTTTTAACAGTCTTCAAAGTCTCTCATTATAAGCCTTATTGCAGTCTGTATCAGTTACTTTGAATCATCTTCGGGGTTCTAAGATGAATAAGCATAGAAGTCCAGGGCTATTCTCATCAAATGTTCTTCCCTGTGTCATATTTCATTCTGATGGAAAATGTAGGTGGCATACTCTGTCTATGGTTCTGAGTTTGAAGCAGGCACAGTAGTAATGGCCCTGGAGTGGAGATGGTGTGCAAATTATACCTGCCATATATCATTGGGGTTTAAATATGTGGCTGCACGCTTGACATACAGTATGCTGTGTTGCATGGAAATTTTTTTGTTGAATAATTCAATTATGGAATTTTATTCCTGTGCTTTTTTTTTTTTTTTTTTTTAAATGACTTAGAGTATATTTTTGTTGTTCACAGTTTTAATAAAAGTGGAAGAAAAGCCTAACTATTCCCTCCACCCTTCTTCTACCTATTCCACCTGCCCTGCATAAAAAAGATCAGTGTACTTACATATTTTTAATCTGTTCCTGTCACGTGATCCTGCAGCTTCTGGTCCCCTGTGTCTGAGTGACTGCTACAGGGGAGAGGTGGGAGGGCTTCTTTACACACAGGAGCTGGAACTGCAGGATCATGTGACCAGACTGGAGCAGATTAAAAATGGGTAGGTACAAAGATATTTCTATACAGTGTAGGCAGGGCAGGTAGGAGGAGGGGGAAGGAGACCCTTTTAAAGTGGAACTTTAGTCAGAAAATTAAGTCCTGCTAGATCACTTCAGGCTGGCCTCTTTTGCAGGTATAGCTATGTAAAACATTAAATAAGTGCCTATACAATTTAAAATCCAGTAATGCCCTGTCTCACTCTGCTCTGCACATGCTCAGTTACTCTTTATTTTTCGTCACTGTGCCAAAAATGTAAAGGCCAATCTGCTTACAGCCTAAAGATTTACTGCTGTTCAGGGACTCTGTGCTTCCGCAACATTGCAGCCTCCTGCAAGAAGAAACAGGAGCAATGCTGGAGGCAATTTACAGCACACATTAATTTTGGTAGCATAATTGTTGATACGCAATGTATGTTCCTAGCTAAAGAACATTTTTTATCAAATTGTTATGGGCAAAGTTTTGCTTTAAGGATAAATATAGTTAGTCTTTTCTTCCACTTTAAAATATTTATAAGCTTCTCTGTGTAAAATCTAGGCCTATTGGATGCATCATTAAAGACATTTGAAAGGGTAATGGGCACCTTTTTATAGTGCTTTTTTGAATAATGTTCTATTACTTTTAGTGGGTACTACACCAGTAATGATGCTCTTTTTTGTTTTGTTTAAACTCCTTGTATTTTTCCATTTGTCTAAAAAAAATCTTTCATAAGAACCATCTGAAAGAAAAAAGTGTTAGACATCGTAAGTGACCTATAAGTTTTCTGTCAACAGAACTTGCTCTTCAATCCCAGCAAGCCTTTCTCAAGAGGAGCAGGAAATCAGAATGCAGATGTAGACCTTATGATTGACTGCCTAGTTTCATGCTTTAGGATCAACCCTCAGAACAATCAACATTTCAAAGTATGTTTTACTTTTGTCTTTTATGTGGGTGTTACTGATTTGATACACAATAAAGTTACTTTTCCTGTTCAATTTTCTCTGATTTTCATTACTTGCTGAACATTTAAATTTATTGACTGTGCTGTGGCAGCAAACTGCAAAATACTACAGCTTGAAGGCACGTACTCATATGTAGATTATTCTTAATAGTACCACACAAGCTGGGGGTGAAACATGCTGCCATTTCCTTGGGATAGTCTTAAGATTTGAATATGAGTTGAGGATAGGATTTGAGGATAGGATTTCAAATCAGTCCTAATAAACCAAGTTGTCTTATGTTAATCTCCTAAAGTTAACAGTTAATTTAAGATATTTGCACACTATACCAACATTTATATGCAGAAAAACAGCTACCACATTCATCAGACATCCCTTAGCTTGATTTACAGTCTAAAGTATATTAAAATGCTGATACACATAAATTTAACATTAAATCCCTCTCCTGTGTAAGTCTCTGTGATGCTTAAAATTTAAGATCACGCTGCTCAGTGGGTTGGCTCTGTGGAAGAGGCAGGTCCTCGAAACGCGTTAGCCTGTTGGAAGTCCAGGATTCCCATTGTGGGCAGACACGTAGTGTAGATTGGACAGTGCTGTTTTTTCATGATGTGTCTTTGACAATATTGTCGTTTGTGAGTACAATACTTATTTTTAGGCGGCACAAACTGCACCTGCAGGGGACCCCAGGATAGGAGGTTTAAGAGAGGAGAGGAGGTCTGTGCAATACAAAAATAACAACAAAACCTTTTTTTAGTTTAACCAGTTGCCTACTGGGCACTTATACCCTCTTCGTTTCTAGGCCAATTTTCAGCTTTCAGCACTGTCACACTTTAAATGACAATTGCGTGGTCATGCAGAATTGTACCCATAAGAAATTTTTATAATTTTTTTTGCACAAATAGAGCTTTCTTTTGATGGTATTTAATTGCCACTGGGTGTTTTTATTTTTTTGCAATATAAACAAAAAAAGAAAAAAATTTGGGGAAAAAAAGTTTTTCTTTTGTTTCTATTATAAAGTTTTGGAAACAGAATTTTTTTCTCCTTCACTGATGTGCATTGATGAGGCTGCACTGATAGGCTGCACTGATGGGCAATGATGAGGCGGCACTGGTGGGCATTGATGAGGAGGCACTGGTGATGCTGCACTGATATGCAGCAATGATGGTCACTGACGGGCGGCCCTGCTGGGCACTGATGGGCACAACTGCTGGGCACTGGTGGGTGGCACTGATCATCAGTGCCCATCTCTTCTGTGAGAGTTGCCGGTTATCGGCAGTCCTTTTTTCACGCTGTAACCGCGTGAGGAAAGTGCTGCCGATAGCCGGCAACTGTATTTACTCCATGATCTGCTGTGTCCTTGGACACAACTGATCACGTGGTAAAAGGCCGCTGTGATTGGCCTTTTACCTCATCACGTGATCAGCTGTGCTCTTAGGACACAGTGATCACGGACATCCCTGCGGGCGGCAGGAGGGTGCGTTCTGGGAGGACGTCATATGACTCCCTCCCAGAAATGGATATCCGCACTGTAGCTGTCATTCTGCTATAGTGCAGTTACCAAGTGGTTAAAAGAAAAAAAAGCCTTTAAAATGACTTTAACCGCCTCCTGCCTGCCATATAAGGAATTGACGGATGGGCAGCGGTTCTTTCGTTCTCAAAGGACGTCATATGACATCCTCCCACTCTAGCTGCGCATGCACACCCCCTGGGGCGTGCAGCGCGTTGATTGGTGGTGCTTTGTGTCCCTGGGACACAGCGGATCACCAATCGCAGTAAAGAGCCGATGACGTAGGCTCTAATGTAATCAGCTGTGTCCAGTCACAGCTGGTCTCATGTAAATAGGAAATGCCAATTATCGGCAGTGTTCGCCTCACGCGCCGGTAATCTGCTTTCCTCAGAGGGGACATGTAACACTGATCATCAGTGTAGCCCCATCAATGTCACATATTGGTGCACATCAGAGCTGCCATTCAGTGCTGCCTATCGGTGCCAGTCAGTGCCGCCTATCTGTGCCAGTCAGTGCCATATATGAGTGATGCCTGTCAATACCCATCAGTGCCACCTATCTGTGCCCATTTTATAATAAACTTTTTTTTTTTTTTTTTTTTTTTTAATTTTCAGTCTTTTTTTTTTAGTTTGTTTAGCAAAAAATAACCTAGTGGTGATTAAATACCACCAAAAGAAAGCTCTGTATCAACAAATTATAAAAATATCATTTGGGTACAGTGTTGCATTGCCGCGCAATGGTCATTCAAAGTGCGACTGCGCTGAAAAGTGAAAATTGGCCTAGGCAGGAAGGGGGGTAGACGTGCCCAGTCTGCAAGTGGTTAGCCGATGTCCGCTTCAGGTGTAATGTCTGTTAAGTGGCTCTTTGAACTGCAGGTAGAACTCTGTTTTCAGGTGTTTTTCAGCTAGCCCGTCATGGATTGTTTGCTGTGTTGCCTACCCCTCAGTTGGACTCCCTATAGTTTTCTTTTCTAAGAGTCCATTGGGGGACACTAGTAACCTCTCTGTTTATGTTCATGCTCTCTGTAATGCTGAGACAAAAAAACTGAGGCATACTGGTAATAGGATGGGTTATCATCCTGGACTGACATACAGTTTATTAGTGTCCAACCTTTTTAGGCAGCAGCATCACCTAAAATCAATGCACTCAAAAGAGAAGACTTTTTCAGTTAGTACAAAAATCATATTTTCTCTCATCGGCTAACGTTTTAAAAACAAATAACCGTATTTAGTGTCATTGAGGATAGTAAACTAATATTTTACTTTGAAAGAAAAATAGCCAGTGTGTGTTTTGAAACGCTAGTGTCTAGAAGTAACACACAAACCAGGCATCATTTATACTTTGTACTGTACCGGATGCTGAAATAATGCTGTACTCAAAAAAAAAAAGCACACTGAGACCATTTCTACAGATTTTACAACTTTTATAGTGTATTTTTCCTATCGTTTTTATTACCTACAGTATATTGCATGTTTTAAAAAAGTAAAATGTTACTTGCCATTAGGTAGAACAATCTAAAAATATTTAACTGCTGCCATTTTGAAGATCAGTTAAGTGGTGTTGAGTGCTTGCTTTTGTGTAAAGGCAAACCCTTTTTATTTGTTTTGGATAGAGTAAAAGGGGGGGGGGGTTAAACCCCTGTCGTTTTTTTTTTTTTTGCCATCTGTGTCCCATCAGGGAGATTTCCCTTCTCTTCTTGTCCCATAGCCAAAACATGAAGTGAAAGGAAATCCCTGCAACTTGGGGGAATCCCCATGTCACCAGATCTAGTGTCCCCATTGGAAGATTTCCCCTCTTAGTGTTGTCAACCCAAGATTTGGGTTTC